GGCGTGTCACTTAACCTCAATTGCCGAAGAAGAAGAAGAAGTAGGGAATAGTGCAATAAAAGGGAAAGAAAACATGGCCCGAGGAAACAAATGGCCACCATCAAAGTTGTATCTTGGGAACTACTCTCTAGGGTGTGCACACCAGCCACCATCACTGGGTGTGTCACTCCAAATATGCTTTCTAGAAGATGTAGATGGCTTCTCCAAAGACATTTTTTTTCATCTGTTCTAAAAAGCCTTGGCTGAATGAAAACAGAATACAAGCAATGCCCCCAAAGTCAGGGAAAAATAAGGTCTCAGAGCTGGCAAGGACCTTAGACATCCGTAGTCCATCCTTCCAGGGATTTTCTCCAGCAGGGCCACAGGGCAGCTATATAGGAGTGCACACATGGTTGTTCTCCAAGCCCAAGTCAATCTCATAAATTAGATGTGCTAATACCCTTAACTTCCCTTTCATAATCCAAGTTGAACAAATCATCTAAGAATTTATCTAAACTTTTATTACTTTGCAGATCTAAACCTGGGGTCATTAAGGAAGATACTGAACTGTGTTGCATCCATAGGGCATAAAGGAATCCAATCACCTGATGAATCATTCCAGTGCTGTTCATAATCCAATGCAAATCAACAAACACATTGGCAGCATCATGCAAGAGCCCTCATTGGGGCAATAATTAAAAAATACTGAATATGCAAAGTAATTTCAGGAGGAAAAGAGTGCTAACAACTAAGGGGCTCAACCCTCATGTAGGAGAGACAACATGGGCTGTGTTTTAAGGTGGCTGGAGTTCTACAAAGCAGAGAAGGGAGGGGAATGAATTTCAGAGGACAGGGAGCACTTATGCAAAGCATGGAGATATTGGATGGGTATCATATATGGGAAGAGCTATTAGGCCAGTTTGTCAGTCAGTCAAAAAGCATTTACACATAGTAAATTTACTATGTGTAGGGCACTGTGCTAAGAAGTGGAGATATAAAGAAAAGCAAAAAACAGTCCTCAATTAGCTTACATTCTAATGAGGGACATAACATGAAAATACTAGATACATACAAGATAGATACAGAGTGGATGAAATGTAATATGGAAAGGGAAGGCATTAGCAACTGGGAGGAACAGAAAAGGTCTCCTGAAGAAGACAGAATTTGAGCTGAGTTTTGAAAGAAGTCCGATAAACTAAGAGATGAGAAGATAGCCCACTACAGGCATTGGGGCCAGCCATTCAAGGGCATGGAGACAAGGGATGGCTGTTATGCTTGTGGAGCTTGTGGAGCAGCAAGGCTTGTGAAGTTATATTGCAGAGTGTGTGAAGGAGAATAAATTGTCAAAAGTCTATAAAGATCAGAAGAGGTCAAGTCATGAAGGGCTTTAAATGCCAAACAGAGAAGTCCATATTTGTTCCTGGAAGTAATAGGAAGCCACTGAAGCTCATTGAGTAGAGAAGTGGTAAGGGGCATATAATCAGACTTGCATTTTAGAAAAATTACTTTGGCATTTGCATAGAGGATGGAATGGAGAGGGGAAAAACTCGGAGGAAAATCAATTAGATTTATTGAAGATTATTACAATAGCCCAAGTGAGAAACAATGAGCTCCTGAACTAAGGTAGTACCTGTGTGAGTATAGAGAAAGGGATATATATGGGAGATGTTCTAAAGGTAAAAATAACATGATTTGCCAATGGATTGGATTCATGGGGCAAGAGTGAAGAATTAAAGATGACACAGAGGTCTCAAACTTGGGGAGTGCTAGAAGGATGGTAGTGCCCTTGACAATAATAAGGAGGTTAAGACATGGAAAGGATTTTGGAATGAAAAATGAGTTCTGTTTTGGACACGTTGAGTTTGACATGCTTATAGGACATATAGTCTGAGATGTTTAAAAGGAAGGCTGTTTTGATGCAAGGCTTGAAGAAATCAGATCAGCTCCATCTTGTAAACAATATCTATTTTGTGACTTAAAGTTCGGTACAAGCTTTTGCTCAAGTGATTTGAGAAATACTGTACCACAAAATGTTCTGGGATAGCTTTTGCAAGAATACAGAACTTAGCACAAAGCACAACTGTTCTGGGAAATGTTCTGTACATCTTGTGGTTGTACCCTTTGGTTTTACCATGCTCTGTCCAATCAGAAAAATGAAATGCCCTTGTTGCTCAAAATTACAAAACTTTATTTATTCCTCATTATTGACTATAAGAAAGCTTTGATGACTACCATTCAGTGTCCTTGTGCCTACTGAGGGGCCTTGGATCCAGTCTGTTGTACAAGTGCTTAGCCTTGCTAATAAATTGATTTGATTGGATTTTGTTTCCTCAGTCCTAAATCAATTCTATTTGCAACAGACTGTAACTCAGGAAAGAGACTAGGGTTGAATAAATAATCTGGGAATTTAAGATGCTTAACTGAACCTATGAGAGGTGATAAGATCACCAAGTAGATGGCACAGAGCAAAAAAAGACGACCTTGAATGACACCCATGGTTAGTGGGTGTGACATTGATGAAGAAGCAACAAAGGAGACTGAGGAGCAATGGGATAGAGAGGAGAAGAATTAGGAGAGAATAGTGTCACCAAAACCCACGGAGGAGGAAATATCCAGGAGATAATCAACGATGCCAAAGGCTGCAGAGAGGTTAAGGAGAATAAAGATGGAGGAAAAAGCCATTCAAGTAGGCAATTAAGAGATCATTGGTAACTTTGGAGAGGACAGTTGTAGTTGAAGTCGGGAGTCAGACTGCAAAGGGTTTAGAAGAGAGAGAGAGAAGTGGAGTCACTGAGTGTAGACAACTTTCTCAAGGAGTTTAACCATGAAAGGGAAGGGAAATTTAAGATGAGAGCTAGTGGGAATGTAGGATCAAGTAAGGATTTGTTTTGGTTTTGTTTTTAAGACTGGGGGAGACAAGGGAGTGTTTATAGGCAGGAGGGAAAGAGCGAGTAGAGAGGAAGATAAGAGTGATGATAGTAGGTGTAATCTGATAGTGGAGAAGATGGAAAGAATAAATCGCTGATGTATGGGGGTTTGCCTTGGCAAGGAGAAGGTCTGCCTCTTCATCTAAGACCAAAGTGATCAAGGGGGAAGATGTCTGAAAGATGTAAGGTAAGGAGGAGTTTTCAATGAATGACCTCAATGTTTTTTTTCCAAGAAAATATGAGATAAGATCCTTGGCTGAGAGGGTAGAGGTGCTGTAGGAGGCTTGAGAAGAGATAGGAAGGTTTGGAATAGCCACTGTGGACAGTGGGATAGTCAATCAATTATGGAGGAACAGAATGTTTGCTTTGCCACAATGAGTACCCAATTGAGGTTGGATAACATAATTTGGTAATGTGAACCATCAGCATGGTTTTGTGATTTCCTCCAGCTCTGTTTCGTGGCACATTAGAAGGAGGAAAGGAGGAATAATCAAAAACTTAAGTTTAGCAAGGCATGATCAATGAGATAGAACAAGGGATTGGAGAGTAGAAGATAGTGTAGAGTTCAACTGTTTCACCAGTTCAACTGGTCAAGATGGGAAAGGGAAGAGACTTTAGCCCACAAAGAGGTAATGACCTGGGAAAGAATTGAGGGGTGGCGGGATTAGAGGTCAGGTGAGGTGAGAATGAAGAACAGGATTAAGAGTTGTAAGGCAGAGGGAAAGGTAAAATGATAAAAGATCACAACCAGATAGAAGAATTTCATAGATCATGAACATAGAAGTGGAACATTTGTGGGTGGTAGCAAAGCCAAAGGGATAACCATCTCTATGTGAAGCTGAGATGGAGTAGAATAAGTCATGGGAACTAAGTAGAAAACAGCTGGAAAGTTAGGGAATTTGAGGGAGCACCAATATGTATGTTGGAGTCCCCTAGTACAAGAGTAAGAGATGGGAAGGAAAGAAAGTGCTGAATTCACTGAGGAAAGGAGAATTTCCTTGGGAATAATAGATAACAACCACCAGTATCTGAACTAGGTAATATATTTGTAATAATAATAAATCTGTATAAGAATAATAATAATAAATTTAATAAGTAATAAGCACTAGTATAATAAATTTATGATAGTAATAAATTTGAATAGTATGAACCTCAAAGGAAGAAAGGTTGTTCGGTTAAGGTGGTGGAAGAAGAATCTCTCTGGAAGTAGCAACGGGGAGCCAGGAGCATTTCAACTCCCCTACCATGGCAGGTGCTTAGAGAGTGAAATAGGGATAGGCAATATGAAATAGCTTTAAATGTGAAACCAAGGATTTTGTACTTTATCTTAGAGGCAAAGGGAGCCATTGAAGATATCTTGGGGGACAGGGGAGGTGTGACATGCTCAGATCTGTGTTTCAGGAATATCAACTTGGTAGCTGTTGGAGCATGGATTGGACTAGGGAGGCGACAAGCAGAGAGACCTATTAGAAAGCTATTACAGGAGGATGTTAGGAAGCTATTATGTTCTGATCTCAATGAACCTTAAGGATGTCCTGCTAATCCTCATTATCATCCCCTGAGGAGGAAAGGGACAACTGTGTCATCTCCGATAGCGGAAAGCTGCCCAAGATCGAATTGGGCATGATGCACAGCACTGGCCACACCATGTAGTCTCAGGAGACATCCCCTCTTTGGCCCCTGTCCTGAAACACCAGACACGGGGGCCGGTACCTTGAGGTTCTAGGTCAGACTGCTGCCGACTTGCTGTGTGATGCTGCCTAGATTGCTTCCCTTCTCTTTGCATCTGGGGCTTCATCTGAGAAAGGGGACATGTGCCACTTCCTATTTCCCCCATTTCTGGATATGCTACTGAGGGTTTCTGAGAAACTCTTAAAATTTCTGACGGCTTTGTCTTTGTTAAGCATGTGACCTAAGGAGAGGCAGAGAGATAAGTCGGCTAGTAGGTCCATATTCACTAAGTATCCACTGCGTATAAAGCTTTGCACCCAAAAGTTCTATGATAGACATATCCCTACCTTAGGGAGCTTACAGTAGAACGAGGGAGTCATCGCACACATATAATACTTTAAGGACATTTTCAAAACTGTTTATTAGCAAGTGCAAATTAACAAAATGCAAATGAGGCATACCAGAGGTAGTGTGATATGATGGAGAGAACATTAGATTTGGAGTCAAAAGCACTGCGTGGACTGGAACACAGACCCTGCCACATATCACCTGTGTGACTCAACAACACTTTTTGGTTGTTCAGTTTCACCATATGTAAAATGCAGGATTTGGATCAGAAGACCTCGAAGGTCTCTTCCAGCTCTAAATCCCATGGATGTTTGTAGAGATTAAGCCATATGGATTGGAGGTCTCTCCAGCTCCTGTCTCCATGTCTTGGCACTGGCTGCCCTCCATTCCTGGAATGCTCTTCCTCCTAGCTTCCACCTCCTGGCGTCCTTCAAGACTCAGCTCCAATGCCATCTTCCAGAAGAGGCCTTTCCTGTTCCTTCTAGCCTCCAGTGCCTCCAAGGTTACCTTTCACCTACTCAGCAGGTATCTTACATATACCTATTTATCCATGTCATCTCTTTGATGTGTGAGCTCCTTGAATGACAGCTCCTGAGGGCAGGGACTATCTCTTGCTTTTCTTTGTATCATCAGCTCTTAGCACAGAGTCTGGCACATAGTAGGCACTTAATAAATGCTTGCTGACTGATTTTCCAAGTCATTTGAACCTGTAAAGTCCCTTGCAGGTTTAATTCTATGACCCTATCCAAATCCCACTAATCCTTCCAGGCCTAGATTCTTAGAGTCCATTTAAATCTCCCTTCTCTGACTCCCCACATCATTTAATCTAAGCCTAGATCATACACCATTCTACAGTAGAGATGCTACCATCCCTTCTCTTAAATAATCCATATTGAATTTAAACCTTTATTAACTCTCCAGCAATAGTGCAGATTTGCTGGATAACGTCATCCAAGTTACCCTCACGGCCTCCAAGCATATTGTTTCATATGTCTTCTTTGTTTCTCTAATACTAAGTTCTGAAAGGGCAGGAAGCAGGACTTCTCTTGCCTCCTCTATTTGTAGCACGTGACACTGGCAGAGTCAGTGCCCATGCTGACATCTGGGGTAAGAAGAACCCAAAGCGATGTGACTTTAGATTTCTTGTTTGTCTGGAGCAGGATGCACTGAATCATCTCGAAGACGGACTGCATCGTCTTAATGCTGCGGCATCATCTGGCATTCAGATCCGTAGCTTTCACATACATACCCTCTATTTCCCGTCTAACATACATCTGTAGCCCTGGGCAGTTGGGTGGTTGGGAAGCTAATCAGCAGCAGCCCATCAGAGACAAAATCCTCCTGCTTGATTTACTTTGGCTAGTGCTCATGGACGTTGCTCCTTTAAACCACACCCCCCCTCCCCACCATGAAAAAAAGGAAGCATAGCTCAAGCTATGAGGACAGCAGGCAATCAGTCAGGTGGTAAACAAGAATTTAAATGCTTACTATGTGCTAGGCTAGCACAGCACGAGGCATTCCCAGGCCAGTCTCAAGAGACTAGGAAGCTTCAGTCCCAGCTCCACCACTGGCATATCAGTGTTTTGATTTCCCCGTCCATGAAATGGGTCAATTCAGCTGCCCCTCACAGTCTTTTGGAAAGGTATGGATTGGGCAGGGGGCAGGTGATAGAGAGGAAGGGAGGAAGAATAGCCACAGGGTGGATGTGCTGTAAGTTCCTTGAAAGAAGACTGCTAGCAATTTGGGATATTATTAATGAAGACCCAAAGAACTGCTCTCTTTTTTACTGCTAAGGAGAACTAAGGCATGTAGAGATGGAGGAAATCAGACAAAGCATTTTTTTAATGAGATCTCCAGGACAGAGGTAGGTGAATTTGCGATCTTTCTCCTAGAGAAGAAAAGTCTTGTAGGATGGAGTGGCTACTTCTACTAAAGAACTGCAGGAAGAGCATCGGACGCAGGCCCTGTCGCTCACTAGCTGCGTGACTTTGGGCAAGCTTCCATCCTCAGTGGGGGCGTCCCAGCTCATCAAAATTCGGTGGGTTTTTCTGTCTGCTCTTTTCAGTCACAATCTTCTCCCCACTCCCTACCAGCTCACTGCTTCCGTTGCCCTCCCCCCCCCCCTCCCCCCCGCCGGCCCCCATGCCCGTACGTTCTCTCCTCCCCCCCTTCGGCTTTTTGTGTGCTGTATTCCCCCGTTAGACTGTAAGCTCCTTGAGGGTGCTCCGGTCTGTCCATGTCCCTTCTAGAATGTAGTGTGCAGAACAGAACCTCATACTCTGAAGGGGGTGTACCCAGCACACACTGCACCTCCTCCAGGAAGCCCTCCCAACCACTCTGGCCAAAGAGGCTCTCCCCTTCCTCCGAAGCCCTAATGCACTGAGAGTGGTTATGCACTAAAAAGAGGTGAATTCCCACTCTGAGGAAGGACCTTTAAATCCTGCCTCATTTACTGACCTGTGTGACCTCAAGCAACTTACTTAAAGGTCCCTTCCAGCTCTAAAATTATGAACTTTCACATTCATGGCATGAAATTAATATAGTTTTAACTTGGTAGTTGCCTGAGAAGAGCCTGGAAGTAGATGTATAAAATAACAACTCATGTTTATCTAGAACCTTAAGATGTGCAAAGCCCTGTGACATTAGGAGAGTTTAAGTACTGTCTCCATTTTATAGCTGAGGTCAAGTTACTTGCCTTTGGCCAACGACTAGCTTTGAACACACCCTGAGGGAGGGAAGGGGGTGTCAATTATTTTATCCACCTGCATCAGTTTCTCAAGATAAACCCAAAGAACCAGTAGCCCAAGTCTGTCTTGCTTGGAGGGAAGGGGCCAAATAAATTGTGTTTTGAAGAGATCTCCACTAGCCTGAGGGCACCACAATTCAAAGTTGGGGAGCTAACCACAGACACAGCAAAAGACTGCAGAAGTCTCACACTGCTAACTCCCATCCCACTTTTCTTATCATCAAACCCCATCTTCCTGCTGGACACAACAACAAACCATTGAGTTAGAATAGCCCCTATGGCAGAGAAGATTCTTAACAGATGTAGAGGCAGGACCTACTGTCACCTAAAAGCTCCCTCTGACTCACCACAAAGTACACATGTTCCCCCTTTGGATTTTCTTGTATTTGGGTTGTTTTTTTAAAACACCCATTTATTATCTCTCCCTTACCCTTTCCTCTACCACCAACTGAGCAACAATAATGATAAAACAAATTAAAGCTGTCATAGCAAGTATGTCTAGTCTGCCAAAACAAATTCCCAAATTGTCCACGTTTCACTCTGCATTTTAATTCTATCAGTTCTCTGGTAAGAGGTGGACTGCTGGTTTCTTCTCCAGTGCTCAGGTTTCCTGGTTTATCACTGCATTTATCAGACTTTCTCAGGGGTTCTCTTGCATTTGCAACTTGGTTTTCTAATAGAGAGTGAGAGAGGGGTGGCCAGGCTCCTTTTGGAAGCACTCACTTCCTTGTACTCACAGCCCCTCCACCTCTTTTCAGCCTGGCTGCAGCTCAGCACATGCTACACATCCATTTGTACTTTTCAGAGTAAACTACATGGTTCTCTTCAGAACAACCATTTCTAGTTTGTTTGGGTTTGTTCTTTTTTTTTTTTTAAGAATCTTTACGTTATTTTCCCCAGTTTCCTCTCCCCCTTCATTCTAATATTCTCCAGGTCATTTCCAGATGAGAGACACTCCTCAAAGAGTCATCTTCCCTTACTGGAGAAACCCTTTTGACCAGCTCTCATTGACCCTGAAATGCTCCCAAAGAACAGGCTGAGAATCCCCAACCTGAGGTCTGGCAGACGATGAGCTCAGCACCATTGGACAGAATCACAAGGCTGATCCAAGCTCTCAGCTGATTCCAACTGTCCAGGATCCAAGAGATTGTTAGCTGTACTTCTGCCCTTCCAGGGTATCTCAAAGGCCTTCCTCCCCAGCGTGCGCTGCATCTGTCTCTGTTGGCCACCACCCTCGTTGCTTTATGAGACATCAGCAGTTCCCCTTTTGCCCACATGAAGACAAGGCACCTTTGAACTCTCACTGTATTTCCAAGAATCCCAATTACCTCATGGGAGTCTGCTACAGGGTTCTGTTATGTAGGTCAGCAGGCAAAGGGGCAACCATGTGATCTGGATAGATAAGCTTGTGATGAGATCAGCCTGTTCCAGCAAGAGGGCAATGTGTTTGGGAACCACACTTCTACAAGACAGCTCCGTGAACTTCCAGGGCCAAGCTCTCCAAGGTATCAACTGGTGGCCCCGTGTGACCCCTGAGACTGGAATCTGCTGCCACTGTACCCCATGCCCACCCACTGCAGCCAGGCCAAGCCTTTCTTTAATGGCAGAAGCAAGGCCCAGGCCCAACGCATTGCCTCAGTGACATGTGCAATGCCTTATAGAAAAGCGTGGCACCGCCAGAAAGCCTCCTGAGGGTTCATGAACTTGGGAGAAATGTACATCTTTGTTTAACTATATTAGGTTTCCTTTGTAATCCTTTGTATTTTATGCATTTAAAAACATCATTTTGAGAAGAGGTCTATAGGCTTCTCCAGGCTATCAGAGGGGTTCATGATCCAAAAAAGTCTCAGAAGCCCTGATACACATCAACCTTCTTCAAGATTCCTTCAGTTTCCTCATCTCCTACAACACAGGATTAGCTCTGGAAAGGAAGCTGAACCCAAGTTGAATGACCTGTCCAAGGTCACACTGGTGGTATCAGATTTCCCAACTCCAAGTTCAGAGCTCTTTCCACTGCCCCATGAAAATCTCCAATCTTTCAGCTGGCTTTCTCTAAAATGCCTCCAAATCACCTTACCCAATAACCACCAAACCTCTCCCCAACCCAAACAGGGACCTTCCATTCAAGTCAGGCTGGTCTTTACTGTTCATTCTATTGCCGTTCCTTCAGATCATTCCTCTTGCCTGGAATGCCCTCCTTCTCACCTCCACTCTATGTCAATCCTACCCAGACAAGAAGGCCCAGCTCCATTCCCAGCTGCTCCCCAACCATGCCAGCCCTCCCCCTCTGAACTCCAGCTTTAATAGAGCACTTGATTAGATATACTCCAATAGATTTATGATCTCATCTTGTGGGTATTACCTCCAAAAATGCTGGTCAAAATCCATCTGTGTTCACACTTCCTATCTTATCTTGTTCCCTAATTTGAGTCCAGTCACTCTGGCTAAGCTTTCAGGTCCTCGAGGGCAGGGACCATAGCTAATATTTCTCTAACCCAACAGTACTGAGCAGAGGCTGAAGGCTTAACAGGTGCCCACTGACACCATGTAACTAACCAGATCCGTCTCCCTGTAGGTACAAACAGATCTATGGCTGCTGTCACTGCCAGAGCTCCTCAATGACTGCCCTGCCCTGACCAAAAGTCACCAAAGTTATTTAAACTGAGCTCATATCAGCTATCCCTGGTTAGGGTCCAAAGAAGTCTAGGAAGGGCCCACATTCACAGAGAACATAACTGCTCTCAATTCTAGGATGAACTCAGGTAATGCCCTTGACATTTTGAAAGTCATAGCTAATGCCCTGGGCCTTGGTTTCTCTGTACTCAGAATGTAGCCAAATCCTTTGGAAGAGAAAGGACATCAGTAAAAAGGATGACTGAGAAAGCTAAAATGGTGGTTCCCCAGTGACTCTTACCACTCAAACTCAAAGGTGGCCTGGATGCCAGCTGCTTCACCAATCACTGGACCCTCTTCTCATGCAGCAGTGGGGTCCTCCTAACATTCACCTCCATCTGAGGAACCCCCTTGGGGAATGTTCCTCTCCTCAGTTCCAACAGGGCCAGTTCTTAAAATTAGTGCTTTACAGCTGAGGATAATACAATGAACTTTCAGTAATTCAACCAACCACCCTTTTCTTTGCCCACTTAGTGTGGAGATGGGTCTGAAAACAATGCTCTCTGAAGAAGGGTTGGAAAATCAAAGGATTGAGCCTTAACCCTGGAAAAGAAAAGCCATGAGAGTGACACAGGACCGCTGTCTTGAGACACCTGAAGGACAGCCATGTGGCAGATGGTGTAGCTCCAGAGGTGTGCAAGTCCAGACAGCCACCTGGGCCAAGGACTGAAGAACCAATAAAAGTTATGCAGAAGCAAATTTCAGCTCAATGGAAGAATTTTCTAAAATGTGGAGAGCTATTCCACAATGGAATGAGTTTCCTTATGAAGTTAGTGAGCTCTCTGGCCTAGGAAGAACACAAATGCTGTGTAGATAGGGCACTTGTCTTGGGAGTCAGGAAGATCTGAGTTCAAATTTGATCTTAGGCACTTAGTAATATAATGTGTGACCCTGGACAAGTCACTTAACCTCCCTTAGTAGTAGAAAAGGAATGTGCATATGCCTGTGTAATTTTCAACTTAATAATTCTTGCAGTAAATTCTTGGAGAGAGGAAGAAAGTTTGGAACTAATATTGTCATTTGGAACGTCACTTGATCTTCTGTTTCATTGATCCACGTGTCCTCTTGCTTCGGATCATTGAGTTGACTATCAGTGTTCTTTCCTAATGCTGACTTTAGACCACGTTGTTGATTTGTCTCAAACAAAAGCATTGGAATTCTCCTTTCATACTTGTGACCTAAGACAATTTTATTCTACTGGTACAACTCTATTAAGCAAAGAAATGGAGAAATAAAAGCAGCTCAAAGGGGTATGCTGCTGTGGACAATGCTGATCTCCCCCACGTGCCTACCCTGGGATAAGGCCAACAAATTTGGTGACTGAATCTTCTGTTATGATCACCATAGCTCCCACCTCTGGCACCAGAAGTCAGGAACCAACAGGAAACTTCAGAGGAGAGGAATGAGAACAAGATCTGCCCCACGGTGGAAGGACAAAAAGCAGAGAGTAGCAAGCGGGATGCTAGGGAGGTTTGGGGTCTTCTCTGCATCTTACCATAACTGGCTTTCTGTGTGAGGTTTAGGGACTAAACCCACTGAGTGTGTGTGCTATGGGGGAGGCAGGGGGAAAAGCAGTGATGCAAAAAGAATGGTGAATACAGAGGACCCCAGTGTAGAAGTCCTGGGCTCTACTCCGGACATGCCATGAAGACTGAATTCCTTGCCTGGTATTTGTGAAGTGATCATTTGAGGGTACAGGAAAATTCGTGCAAAGTGTGGTAAGGGATTTAATCCTCGCCACAAGATTTTCTTTCTCTGGTTTTCACCATCCCCATTCCTTCTTATTTTTCCAAATCTCTTCCTAAAGAGTAGTACAACTGAATACAAGTATCATTTCGATGGAAATATAGGAAGCATTCACTTGTGAGGGCCATTGTTCTAGGCATTAAGAATGTCAGACTAGTCAACCCACACCCTTCCTTGGGCCAGAGTTTATCAGGTAGGGTCATATCTGCAGACTTTGAAAGTGACCTGTAGACACACACTGCAAGGAAGGAACGAATGATATTTCTCATTCCAGTTAAATAATTCAACAAACATTTACTGAATGCCTATTATGTCGAGACACTGTGCTGGGCACCATGGGGCTATCAGGAGGTACAAGGCATAATTTCTAACTTCAAGGAACTTACAAGAGAGGAAAAAGACGAGAATAGAAACACCGAGTTTCCTGATCTCAAACAGGGTCTGGGCCCTTAGGCTGTGAACCAAGACACCAACCAAATAGCAAGGGATTCAGCTGGTCTGTGGATCTCTAGACAAGAATGAGTCTAAAACCAGTTCCTACATGATGCACATAATTCTTTATCGCAATTTCCCAACCCTCCAATGCATATGAAACACTATGATGAACACCTGCTTCCCCACATTTCAGGAAAACAGTCCAAATCACTATCAGAGAACCTGATTGGCCCCCACGGAGGCAGCACGGGGGTGAGGCGGCTGGAGAGGACTGCCATCTGCACCCCCACAGGAGCCCCAAGAGAAAGCCCAATGGTCCCGGATCCCAGTTCCTGTGTCCTGGGGCCAATCTGCTCCTGGGAAGGGCACAATGCTCCAGACTGGCCCGAGGACCAGACCACTCCAGCCGAGTCTTTGTCAGTGTTACTGCTGCTTCTCCTGGAAAACTGGCCAAGCACAGCCTGGTGCGTAAGCCGTTTCTTGGATCAACTCTGGTGCAGCAAGTCCAGTTCCAAAAGGACCTCTTTCACTTTCCCCACAATCGTCCAGACTTCAGCCATGGCCCCCAGACCTGAAGAGCAAAGCCATCCAAAGTGAAATCTGGGATAATGCAGAGGCACTGTAGCCTTGGTGGCCTTTAACGAAGCCACATGAGCATCCCCACATACCAGGGTTGGAAAAGGAGCCAGGGAAGCTGTAGTCCTGGTGCTAACCAGGAAGCCTGTGAAGAAGGTGAATCCTTGCAGAGACCAGTACGGAGCCCACCTGGCCTGACCATCCCAAATCTACCCCCTCCCCACCCCTGTGACACCCCAAGGACTCGAAGCCCCATCTCGTCTAGGATGGGGGTAGAACAAGCTTCCTGGGACAGGCCAAGCGGAACAAGTGGCTGGGGTAGGGCCCGAGCTGGGGCTCATGAGGCCTTACCTTCATCTCCACATGCGAGTTTCTTAGCCACACAGGGGACTTCGGTGTAGCCGAAGCCCTTCAGCTGTTCCACGTGCTGGGCCGTGATGGGATGCTCCCACATGGCAGTGTTCATGGCCGGGCAGAAGAGAAGAGGCTTTGCCCGATCCCAGGCTCGGATGACGCAGGTCTGTGAGGAAGGGGGAAAGTGTCACTCAACACTAGTTCTTGCCAGAAGATCTTTGATTCCAGCCAGGTGCCTGTCTATCCCCTCCTCAGGCAGAGGCCAGTTCCATTGCCTAGAATGTCTTAGCCTGGCCATATGACACCTGCTAGTTAAGGTCTTGCCGCTTAGTTGACCTCTTTGTTTTCATGTGTATTAGTCCCTTCAGCCCAGAACACCTTCTCCTCTTCCCTTTGCTTAACCCTCAAGGACTGACTCAAGCCTCACCTCAGATGGCAGCTGTCTCCCAGGAGAGTTCTCCTTTAGATCTCCTAATGCACTTAAGGTTTCTAATCAATCACCTGATACTTAGTAAATAGTATCTCATACTATTTGTTAACTATTAGTTGAGGGTCACATCTTGTCATCCCTACTCCACAGTGAGTGCCTCAGTAGCAATTATAACTAATTTACCCAGAGCTTTAGAGTCTGCAAAGTACCTTCCTCATGACCACCTGGGAGGCAGAGAGGCCACCTCTATAACCTGCCCCATACATACAGGGAACCTGAGGCACTGAGAAGTTCAATTACACAGTTAGTAACTGCCCAGATCAGAATTCGAACCCACACCTCCTGTCTATAAGGGCAGAAGTATTTCCACTGTGCAACACTGCTTTTCTCTTTCCATCTTCCCACAGTGCCTTGCTCACAAGACAGTATGGAAGCTCAATAATTACCAGGTGATCAGCCTCTCCTCCTAATCTCTCCCCTAACTTTGTCCTCAGCTCTAAGGAGGCTAAAAATTGTGCAGGATTCCCAGTGAGTGACAGGGTACTTGCCCCAGGATCTCAGCTACAGAGCTGAAAGAGACCTTGGCCCTCATTCATCCAATCCCTGCACTTTTCAGACGAGGAACTGGTGATGGAGAGAAGTTCAGTCTCACAGGAAACACATGGCAGAGGCAGGATTCAATCCCAAGGCCTTGGGAAGCCTCATCCAGTGCTCTCCCCACTGTAATATACTGCCATTGGCTAGAGGCCTCTGGCTAAACCATAAAGGGTCATGGCTAACCTAGTCAGCTAAGCCAGATGACTGCAAGCCACACAATTAAAGGCAGGGTGTCTGACAGGTCTCCAAGCCATCTTACCAAACCACAGCCAAAGATGGGTAGGAGACAGGACAGATTCCCAAAGGAAAAATACTCAAGGGACCAGGGGCTTCTCTGGTGGAAAGGAAGGCTGTGATAGTTCCCATTTATCTACATGTTAAACTTTGTAATTCTCTTAACAACTCTGAAAGGGAGATAATGCCTTGCAAAGGGAGAGGAAATGACCTGCCCACGGTCCCACGGCTAGCAAATAGTAGGAGCCGTGACTCAAATTCAGATCTCTTGAGGGCCAGGACTGTCCTCAGGGACACACTGTGTCTAGTGCACAACCCACCACACCACACAAGGTGACTCTCTGCAGGAGTCATCGCTGTTCGGACGAGTCACTGCTGGTTTGCAATCCGGTTTTGGTTTTTTTTTTTTTTTTTTTTTAAAGATGAGTCTTTTTGTAGTCACACCTCATATGATGTGGCTATTTTCAGTCACAGATAATAAATGCCAAAGGAATTTGGGGTGGGGATGGGGACAGACAGAGATAGCCAGAGACAAAGAAAGAGAGCAATGCTCTCAGTGAGGATCTCACCCAGAAGGTGGGACTTGAACTATTGCCTTTGCAGGCTGGGGAGGACATGGCTAATCCATCGACAGCCATTTACTAAGCACCTACTACGTGCCAGGCACTGTGCTAAGTGCTAGGGATACAAAAAGAGGCAAAAGAGAGTCCCAGCCCTCAGGGAGCTTATAACCTAAGTGGCTGGATGGCCCCTGGTTGGAGAATACTGGAGCAGGGCATCTCATTTATGTATGGGCTGGACGAGATGGCCTTTGAGGTCCCCTCTGACTCTGAGATCCTGTGACCCAGAGGGCCTCCCCGAAGAAGAGAATGCTCCTCTGCCCAGGCAACTGTCCAGATTCGTCTTTCCCTCCTTCCGTCCTGGCTTCAGGGGCCATCGTGAGAAACGGTGGTCTGTGTGCTGCTCTCCTTGATGGGAAGGCTAATGCGTGACGTGCTGATGAGGGAGTCAGCGGTCCTGCTCTCGGGGCTCCAAGGTTCCACCCCGCAGGATGGGAGAGAAGAACTGCTACCTCCGCAGGCCTGCCCGAAAAGCTACCTCAAGCACCAGAATTTCCCTCTCGTCTGTCTCCACCAATAAAACAACTGAAAGAGGTGCAGGCAGCTAGTGGTTTCACTTGCATTTCCTCTTGGCTCCCAGCCAAGCTCCTTCTGCAGAACCTGCCTGTGGGCCTGAACAAGCCCTTTCCATTTGAATTGGTTGTCCTTAGCTTCAGGAGCAGCCACTTAGCACATGTCATTGCTGGCAGAAACACAAGACAACCCCAAGCATCTGCTTTTCCTAATATCTCTCCAGAGCACGGAATCTCTGTTAAACCACAGGCCCCCAAATTCAAGCACTGCTCACAATCACATGGTGCACAGAGGGCAGAAAGGACTCATCACCACTACATCACCTGAACAGCCCCCTCCCCAAACAGCAGGGCACCTTGTCTCTGCTAGAGGGAAGCGTGCTAGGCCGGGGGGAGAGGGGGGAGAGAAGGCCTGCTCACCAGTTAGAAGATCTAGATTCTGGTCTGGGCTCTGCCTTCCCTGTTCCACTGTGACCCTGAGGATGTCACTTACCCTCTGAGGATCTCAGTTAATCTCTTATGTGGCATGGAAGGAACTCATTACTACTAACCTAAATGAGGGGATGGGGATAATCTCTGGGCAACAAAAAATGGGGATGGATGAACCTAAGGCATATTAAATTATACTCGCTGCTTCACGGTACCTCTTCACATACTATCAAAGTCAGAAGGGACCTCAGAGGCAGCATGGTCCAGTCTGACTCAAATGAGCTCATCTGCCACAATGGCCTCTAACAAGTGGGCAGCCAGTCACACGGCCATGTCCCGCCTGGCCTGCACCTTCTGGGTGAAGCCCTCCCTAGGAACACCAGGGTATTCTTTCGAGGACAGCAGTTCCTTTGAAGCCCTTGGGTCTCTGACAAGCCTCACTTCCTAAAGTCAGTATATCTTTGCTTTGCTCCCCCCAAAATCAGCTGATACCTCCATTTCTTTCCTTCCCCTCTCTACCATGCCAAGGTTATTCTAACTGACAGAGAATCTGCACCATAGATCAGTGGCTAAAGCTTCAAGCTAAACAGAGAGAGCAGTTGGGCGTTTGAGTGAGGGCCGACAGGAAGTAAACACACTTATCTGATCTTACATACGTGTTTTCAGACCATACTGATCAAGTGGAGCTGAAGGGGGAAGCCAGAGGGTGGGGAAAAGAGAGGGAAAGAAAGGTGAGGAGTTATAAGATGATGGAAGGAAAGAAACGGCCAGGCAGGGCTGCCCACATCTGTTATCCTGGCTGCCAGAGAGGTGGAAGGTATAGGACGAGTTCAGGAATCCTGAGCTGCCATGGGCTAAGGGCTAAGTGTACTGCACTGGGTGTCTGCACTAAGTCTGGCATCAATATGGAGAATCCTCCAGGGGGCAAGCCTCCTGGCTGTCTGAGGAGGGGAAACTGGCCCAGGTCAGAAACAGAGCACGTCAACAGCCCTTGTACTTTCACCCTGATGGAGACAGGGAGCTCTAGACTTTAAAAAAAAAAAAGAATAAAATGGGGTACCGAAAGATGAGTGAGAGAGACAGAAGGGGGGGGGGGGGGGGGGGAGGAACAGGGAGAAGGAAAGGAAAGTCATCCAGGGTCCAGAACAGAGCATGGAGAAAAGTGACAGGGGATGACATAAGATGCCTTAACCAGGGCCATGCTCTTGGCATGTCTGTTCATCAGCAATTAGTCTATCTACCTTCCTGGACAAAAAAGAGACAAGGTCTGAGGAATGAGCCCCTTCTCCTGAGGCAAGCAGAGGCACCAAGAGCCTGGGCCACCCTCACTCTGACCACAGAGCCAAACGGAAAGTGAGAAGGCCTGATACCAGCAGGAGCAGCAACTCAACAGGAAGGCGGGGCACGAGGGGTCACTCACCAACAAGTTGTCACAGATGCCACTGGCCACCTTTCCCAGCGTGTTAGCATCAAGGGGGGCGACTACCATGAGGTCTGCCCATCTCCGAAGTTCAATGTGCAGGACAGGGTCAGAGCGGAACTTCCACATCTGAAAACAGGAAGTCGATTCAATTCAATCCAGCAAACACTTACTAAATGCCTACTGTGCCAGGCAGACAGAAACCCTGACCCTAGGGAAGCTTACATTCTACCAGGACGTGGAGGGCGCAGGGGCTGCTGCCTTCACAAACACAGACCAATAAGACTTTTGACAGGCCACACCAGAAATGCACAAGGCTGAACACAGAGAGAGATCACCCAGAGAAAGCAGAGGCTGGTAGACCAATGGCCTTAGAGCAGGTGTTCCTCACCTGGGAAGAACTCTGAGGACTCAGATGGGAAAAAGGACCTCTTTGTTTTTACTGACTGCTAACTGAAATTTAGCATTTTCTTCAATTATGAACACCTTTCTAAGAAGGACTTGGGCTTCCCGAGACTACCTGCCAAAGGAGTCTATGACACAGAAGAAGTTCAAGAACCATCCAATACAGAGATGGGTGCCACACCTCACCCTTCTAGTCCCTTAAATTCAGTTGAGGGAACAGAATTGTGGCATTTCCTTTGACAAAGGGAACACGATGCCTCCATTCAATCTTGGGTTTGCATTTATTTGTGTGCTGGAGCTGGAGACAGCAAAGACAAAAGACAAAACGCCACACTCCCTGGCCTGGGGAAGCTAACACTCTCCAGCTTTGGGATGTGGACCATGGGGAAGGCAACACCCGGTGGGGAGCTCCAGCCCCCGAAGGAGGAGGAGAACAAAGGACAAGGGAAGGGAGGCAGAGAACACTGTTTAGTGAGGCCCAGGCAACTGCATATTTTGTGGACCAAGTAGAATTTTTCTGGGTCTAAAGATTTTTAAAAACTATTGGCAAAGCTGCCTGTAGCTTATGCTTTATGGCTGATGAATCAGACCGTGGAATTCCCTGCTGCAGGATATTAGAATCCTGCAGACAGGCTGAGGGAAAGGACTGGATAAGCTCGTGCTAGTGAAGACAGTGCTAAGTGATGTGGACAAAGATTGCAAACTGAGCTCCTCCGAGGTTTCAACAACACAGATAATAATAAAGGGACTCAGCCTCAAGCTGGGGGCAAAGGTCCTCTGCCTGGAAGCACAGACTGGATTTCTGGTCTTTCAGTCGACTTAAGGCACCACAGCACAGCTGGTCGACAGCTTGAGAAATAGTTTCCATGTTTCTTCCGCACGTGAGGTTCTGACCACTGACACATGTCTGGACCTTCTGATATGGTCTGGCAGAGCCCAGGAGAATGGCCATGGGTGGAAAGCGGCAGGAACGGTAAGCAGTTTGGGCCCAGGGCCCCAGAGCACTGACCTCCCATTCATCAGTGTCACTATAGACCGTGACAGGAACATCACAAGAGTTGTAGAAATGTTTTGCTCTCTCCGTGGTCACCACTGCCACTTCCAACTGCCAGTGGAAAAAAGAGGAAGAAGGGAGAGAAGAGAAAACAGTTACTCAAAGGTCTGAAGGCCCAAGAGGGGTTGCAGGCTGAAAAAACAGGTTTGCTTTGGCCACGGCCCTTAGAGGATGATTTCCTCACACTCCCATCATCCCATTTCTCACGTTTGCACAGCACTTCCTCCGTTGCCCAAAGGTCAGACCCCGCCAGGTGCCTGTGGTTTCAGTTCCCCCTCTGAAGGAAGTTGAGTGGGTAGGGCTGCTGAGCTGTTCTGGATGAGTCACCAGGTTCCTGGAGTATATAAATCAGCAGTAGCCCATCACATTAGCAGGGTGAGGCAGAGAAGCAGAAGCAAGGAGATGAGAAAGAGCGGCACTGAGAAAGGGAAGCAGCTTCTCAAAAAGTAGTATGGAGGGGTAGCCAGGCGGCTCTGACCCTAGAGTCAGAAAGACCTGAGTTCAAACCTGGTCTCAGACACTTATGAGCTGTGTGACCCTAGCCATGTCATTTAACCCCATTTGCCTTAAATAAACATAAAACAACAAGAAGTGATATGGCTGAGCCCACAGAAACAGGCAGGGGCCTCACCACTGACACTTCGGTCTGTCCTGCTTTCCAGAAGCAGAACAGGCCTAGCAGACAACACTGGGATCTTGCCCGTCTTGGACAACCACATTAGGATTGTGCCCAAGAGTGGACATCAGTGGTTGAGGGGCTGTAGAAAGACAAGCACACAAATGCACTATTAGTGGGACTGTGAAAGGATTCGATTATTCTGGAAAGCAATTTGGAATTGTGTAAAAAAAGTGATTAAAATGATATTTCACCGCTAGGCACAAACCCGAAGGAAGTCAACGACAGAGAAAAAAAGGTCCCACAGACACCAAAATATTTACAGCAAAAAACTGGAAAGAAAGTAGATGCCCATCTATCAGGGAACAGCTAAACAAACTATGGTACACGAATACAATTGATTACTCTGCTGTGAGAAACAATGAACATGGGGGGCAGCTAGGTGGTGCAGTGGATAAAGCACTGGCCTTGGATTCAGGAGGACCTGAGTTCAAATGCGACCTCAAACATATAACACTTAGCTGTGTGATCTGGGGACAAGTCACTTAACCCCATTGCCTAGCAAAAAAAAAAAAAGAAAAAAGAAAGACAGAAAGAAAGAAAGAAAGAAACAATGAACATGATATATACAAAGAAGCCTGGACAGACATATAAACTGATACAAAGTAAAGTAAGTAGAGCTAAGAAAACAATATACACAATGACTACAATAATGTAAGTTGAAAGAAAAACAGGGAAACTGAGTAGTATAATATCATAAAAGGCAAGCTTAGCTCTAAAGAGATATGAAAAGCTATCTCCCCCTGCTCCTTTGCAGAGATGGGGAGACCCATGGGCACAGAACACTGCATAGAACATCAGACTTTTTTAAAGATATAAATTGGTTTTATTGAACCCTTTCCCCCCTCTTTAGTCTTTAAGGGATACCTCTCTGGAAGGGGGCAGAAAGCAGAGATACAGAGGGAAATGTGAGTGACATAAAGCAAAAGATAATCATTAAAAACCTATTTAAGGGGTAGCTAGGTGGCGCAGTGGATAGGGCACTGGCCCTGGAGTCAGGAGGACCTGAGTTCAAATCCAGCCTCAGATACATAACACTCATTAACTGTGTGACCCTGGTCAAGTCACTTAACCCCAATTGCCTCCCCAGGGGAAAAAAAAAAACCCTATTTAAAAAAGAAATGTGCCCCTCCTGATAACCAAAAATAAAATATGAAGGTTTGATCACATAAGATTGAAAAGCTTGTTTTGCATGAACAAAATCAGGGGCAGCTAGGTGAATAGAGCTCTGGCTTGGAGTCAGGAGGACCTAAGTTCAAATCCGGCCTCAGACACCTGACCCTTACTAGCTGTGTGACCCTGGGCAACTCACTTAACCCCGACTGCCTCACCAAAACAAAACAAAACAAAAAAAAGAATGCATGGACAAAATCAATTAGGATAAGAAAGGAAACTGTCAATTCAGGGAAAAAAAAATCTTTGCATCAAATATCTCTGATAGGTGTGATACCCAAAATATTGAGGAACCTAACACAAATATATGAAGTCAAGAGCCATTCTCCTTGATAAGTAGTCAAAGGACATGAATAAACAGTTCTCCAAAGAAGAATTAGAAATTACAAGCAACTATATGAAAACTAATAGGGAAATGCAAATCAAAACAAGTCTGAGGTGTCACCTCCCATGGGTGTCCTTTTGGCAAAGATGACAGAAGACAGGAGTAGTTAATGATGTATAAGAGTTAGGGCAGGATGGGGATACTAATACACTGCTCCTGACTGTGAATTGGTCCAAACATTCTGGAAAGGAATTTGAATTTATGCCAAGAAAGGGACTATCATGTCCATACCCTTTGACCCAGCAATCCCACTGTTAGGCATATGGCCAAAGGAGGTCAAAGATAGAAAGAAAAGTTCCATAGGTACCAACACTCTTGAGGCAGCACTTTCTGTAGAAGTAAAGAACTGGAAACTAGATAGATTTCCATTAATTAATTTAATTAATAATAATTTCTAAATAATAATAAAGAATTAATTAATTGAACAATGAATTCAAAGAATATAGAGAGGCATGGGAATACCTATGAATTGATGCAAAATAATAGAAGACATAATGACTAGAATAACAGAAATGGAAAGAAGAATGGAGAGCACCTACAAAGTCACACTCAGGACTTAGAGACTACAACCACAAAACACCCCTTAAAGCACTCACTGTGTGCCAGGTACTGTGCTAAGTGCTGGGGAAACAAAGAAAGGCAAAAAATACCCTGTTCCCAAGAAGCTCAAAGCCTCTGTGAGACTTCATGGGGGAGATAACATACAGACAACTATGTGCAAGACATACTGGAGATAAGCTCATTAAGGGGGATCAGGAAAGGCTTCTTGAAGAAGGTGGGGTTCTGGCTGGAGCCCAAAGGGAGCCAGAGAAGCTATGAGCCAGAGATAAGAAGAGAGAAGACTGTATTGCAATATAGAGAGTGTGTTTTGTTTGAGTTACAGCAAGGAAGCCAGTGTCACTTGACTGTAGAGTATCTGGAAGGTGGGAAGGTGTAAGAAGACTGAAAGGCAGAAAGGGCTTTAAAAGCCAAATAGAGAATTTTAATTTGATCTTCAGGGTAATAATAAGCCACTGAAGTTATTAATGAGTAAGTTGGTGACATGGTTAGACCTCGGCTTTAGGAAGATCACTTTGGCAGCTCTGTGGAAGATGGATTGGACTGGGGAGAGACTTGAGGCAGGACAACCAAGCAGAAGACTGTTAGAATAGTCCAGGTGTGAGGTGATAAGGAGCCTGTACGAGGGCGGTAGCAACCTGAGAGGAGAGAAGTGGATTTATACAAGAGATGTTAAGAAAGTATAATCAACAGGACTTGGTAATGGATTGGATATAGGGAGTAAGAGAGAGTAAGGAATCAAGGAGAACACCTAGGTTGAGAACTTGGATGACTGGGAGGAGGGAGGTGAGCTCAAGAGTATTAAGGAAATTAGGAAGAGGGGAAAGTTTTGGGAGACAGATAATGACTTCAGTTTTAGACATGCTGAGTTCAAGGTGGATAACAGGACATCCAATCCAAGAAATAATTGGAAAGACAGTAGTTGTTTGTGTTTGTGCCATGATAATAAAATAAAAATAACACTACTACCTATATTAATTTACAGAGAGAGACTTGGAATACTAGACCTCAAACTACACTAAAAAACAGTAATTGTCATAACTAGTACTGGTTTAAAAATATGGAAAAGTTGATTAATGGGTCAGCAAGACCCATTACAATCGAACATAGCAGTATTGTGTTTGATAACCACAAGAACCTGAATTACTTAGGTAAGGACTCTCTATATGACAAAAATTGCTGGGAAAGCTGGAAAGTAGTCTGGCAGAAAATTGGTTTAGCCCAGTATCTCAAACCATATACCACAATAAGCTCCAAATTGATATATGACCTAAATATAAAAGTTCATATCATAAGCAAATTTGAAGAGGGGAAAGAGATACTTTTTATAACTGTGGATGGAGAATTCTTAACTAAATATGGGATAGAGATGATCTATAAAATTAACATTTTTACTACATTCAACGAAATTTACATTTACAAAATTAAAAAGCTCTTACATAAGAAAAATCAAGGTAGTTTGAAGGAGAATTAGAATTAGGATAATCTGACCATTCTGGAAAACAATTTGAAAGAAAATTCATTAAACTTTGACCCAACAATACCACAACTAGGCATATACAACAAAGAAATAAAAGACAAAGGGGCAAGACCCACACGTACAAAAATATTTGTATCTCCACTATGCATTTTACCAAAGAGCTGTTTGCTCATCAATTGGGGAATGGCTATTGTAGTATATGAATGTAAGGGAATATTACTGTGCCTCAAGAAAGGACAAATATGACAGACTCATAGAAACGAGGGTACACTCGTACGAAATGAGCAGAACCAGAAAAACAATGACTACAGCAATGTAAAGGAAACCAATTTTGAAAGACTTCAGAACTCTGACTAATGAAATGACCCACAATGACTTCATAACACTGATGATGAAACACATCCCCCACTGCTTGGCAAAGAGTTGATAAACTAAAGGTGCAGAATATGACACATTTTCAAACATAGCCAATGTATTGATTTGTCTTTCCAGACTATACTTACTCGTCACAAAGAAAAGACTGTATATTTTTGGGTGGGGTGAGAGAGGTAATAAGAAGTGAGAATAATTCTAAGGTTTGGAATTCAAGTGACTATTCTCAACAGAAATAGAAAAGTTTGGATGGGAAGCAGGTTTGGGTATTTAAAAAGAACAGCTGGACATGTTGAGTCTGAGATGCTAATGAGACATCTTGGTAGAAACGTTTAACAGATTAGTGGCAATGTGGGGCTAAACTGTTGTGATAAATTTACTGAGGTTTCCAGACATTTATTTTTTGT